TCACATTCTGCCTAATTATGCTCATTATGTCTTGAGATAATTAGGTATTTCTATTATTGACAAAACATTCAGTCCCACAAGAGAGACGATAGTTCTTATTGACTTTTGTTTGTTGATTACTTTCTCTATGACTAGATTGGACAGTCTAATCCCTGTTTTAGGGAAATACACAGAACTTGTTTGTATGTGATTGGGACTATATGAACCTCCATCCATCCATTTTCTTCCCCTTAATCCATTTCTGGGTCGCACAGTCAGAGCTGCACGCGGTACACAGAGCACCAGCCCCTCACTGATCCTCCTGGAGGTGGTGAGTCCACAGTAGCCTTGATTTTCCATCGGGGGCTTGCACATATGAATCAGGGGAAAGATCGAGAGCTGGAGTGTTGGATGAAGGGAAAGTAAAACACTGAAAGCAACATGAGGAAAACAGCGTGAAGCAGCTCTGCAGAGATATTTTTGATTATAACGAGATGATTCATTGATTGTGGAAGAATGATTTGATGTCCTTTTTGCCGAGAAATCAAATATCTTTTCTGTAGAATATTCATTGTCTAATTAACCATTGTTCAAGAACTCCTGGAGGAGCACACATTCAAACTGGAGTTTATTCCTCCACATTCAGAACATTAAAGATTATAAAGATTAATATTAATGACCTACTTTTGAGGTTAAATAATACAAGCACAAAGGATAAAAGTTCCTTCTATGAAATAGACTTGGACTCATCTGAAGCCATGACCGTCCATGGGAGCGTTTCTCCTTCACTGTGGTTTTTGGAGTTTTTTTCCTGCTGCTGAAGAAGGGGGTGTGTTTAAGGACAAGGCATTAGTGATGGGGGGTCACCTGCTGAGGTTGGGCAGTCCATCTTTGGGACATAGAATATAATATAGAAAATTATACTTTCGTCCACATCAATCAAATGTATGTCTTATAATAAATAGTTAACTATCCTGTAAATTATGGGAGGATGAGAAAGTCCAGTGATACAGTGGGTGGATGGAGAGGACATTTAAGCTGAGGTGAAAGCCTTCTACATACTTGGTAAAGTGGCAGTTCACATTCTCTGTATTTGGAAGGTTATTCTGTGAGTTGGAAAACATTGGTGCTGTATGCAGGGCGAGCTGAAGAGGAAATGCAGATTCAGATTAATTTCATTGCCATTTGCAGTAAAACCACATCGATGCAAAAGTACCCCAGTCTGCACCAGACGAGGCAGAGAAAAAAATGGGGAACCTCTAGGTGGTCTATTTGCTTAATTCATGGGTTAATCTGTTTATCTTTATGGAACTAATTTCTTTCTTTTTTAACATTTTATAATCCACTTTTGACGAACAGCAGACTGTGGTTGGTCTTTTGGGCTGTACAAAATGTAATCGATTTAATTAAATATTAAAATTAAGTGGGGAATAGCAGGTCCATTTATTCTTAATCCGCTACTACTTATTGATTTCACACAGGTGCAGTACAGTCTCAACAAAGTAGTTAATTAGTTATTCATCAAAATGATACATTTTAGGTCTTTTTTTTCTCTCTTTAGTACGAGTAACATGATCTTTTTTACGCTTTTCAGAACTCAATAAACCTGGGTGTGTTATAAAACCATACATCTGCCATTTGACAGATTGTTTGCTGCTTTAATAATTCATATATCCTCTAATAGACTTCTGCAAGAATGTCTAAATGCTGTACAGAAGGAGCTTTGGCCTGAGGCTGTTAGTTCAAACACACTTTTATCATTTCCTTTTGCAGCAAGCATCTGTTTCAAGAACTACACTGCACACACGGAACAAAAGTGAATGTGGCTACACTGGTAAAACTGGAGAACTGGAACAATGAATTGTAGTACAAAGATGTAGAACAAAGCCTGAGACGTAGTATCGAAGATGATATTTCCTGCTCTCTGCTCGACGGTTTAACAGTCAGTGAGGATGTTAGCTTTTCATTTTAGCCATGTCAATCTATTTATACAGTCTGTTGATGAAAGAGATTAAGAACCACAAATGACTCGTTTGCGGCGAGGAACAAGATGTGTAAGAGAAGCTGTATTTGTACCACAGAGGGCTGTGGCAAGTGGTAAAACAGAATATTTACCAATGCCTGATCTGGAAACGCAAACAGATTACCGAATGAGAAGACAAACAGCAAAAGTGCAACAAAAATATGTGAAATTACTTAACGGACAGAAAAGTAAAAGATGTATTCACTTAATGGTATACATTGTTTAGGATGTATACCTTTCCTTTCTTGTTCTATAAAGCACTTTGCTTTGTGTATGTAACCTTTCTCTATATAGCGTCTTTCACAGACCAGAGTCACAAAGTGCTTTACAATTGTTGCAATTTGTCTCTCACTCCACACAGACAAACAGGAGGCACATACCAGAACTATTGTACATGTTTTGAGAGGTAGGGGAAACTGGAGCACCCGGAGGAAACCAACAAAGACAAAGGGGAGAACAAAAAACTACACTCACAAAAATCTCTGTTCCGACGGAAGAGAGATTTGAACCCAGGACCTTCTTATGGAGAAGGTAAAACTTGTGTTGATGAATATTGTTTTAAAATCATTCAATAACGAGACATTCAAAGTGAAAAAATTATAGGTTAGGCAACAAAGTGTAGACACAGCCTTGTCGTGCCACACCCAAATCCTGTCAGACCTCAAAAGCTAAGCAGGACAGGACCTTGTTAGTACTCTGATGGAAGACAGCCAACAATACAGACAGTAAATAAAATCTTTCCAATTCAGAGTAATTAACTCTTATTCAATAGACATGTGATACATATATTGTGCAGTAATGACACGCAACTGCTGTTGAGGTGCACATTATATCGACAGCAGCTAAACAGGCCTGGTTATAAAAAGTCAAACTATAGACCCACACATTCAGAGCTTAGCGTTTAGACCAAGAACTGTGCTTTGAACCAGACTCTAATGCCATTTTTGAACATTTTCCGTAGGGTCCCATTGGCTTTCCGTTTCTGCAGTCCGTTCAACAGGCTATAGTCTGCAGAGATGGCAAACCGCTACCTTTCAGCCCGGATTGGTCAGCCAACCGCTCCCAATGGTCAAAACACAAAGATTACAGAAATAATCAATGGTCACTTTTGTTCTGGTTTTTAATCTTGTTCAAAAGGAGAGTTAAAAGACCAAAGATACAGGAGCCACAGCGGTCACGGCAACTCTACTGTGCCCCACTGAGACTATTGTCCGAGAGATCAAGACCAATTTGATTTTGTAATGCCTCAGAATTCAAACTTTACAAAGCTAAAATGTAATTTGAACAAATTCAGAAAAGATCCATGTTGCTTCTGATTTTCCTGTTAAAAGGACAATCCCTGCAGCGTGGTCTTTTTCCGCTGTTCCACTTTTGTAATTGTTTTTTTCAAACCCAGATCCCTGAGCACTAACATGTTTTTCGCTCAATAATTACTCGTAGGTGTGCTCTATTCGTGATGCACATTTGTTTCAGTTCCCCAGAGACAATCATTTGCCTGGTCATAGAGAAGAGTGATTGCGTTCGGCAGTGATCCGGTAATTGCTTCACTTAAAACATAATTATTCTTCATGCTTTATTTAGTTCACAATCTCCCGATACATGAACCAGTGCACAAAAAAATCAAAGCCATCAATCAAGTAATGTATATTTAGCAAACCTGGACCCGATCTTTGGCAAATGCATTAACAAGAAAGATTGTGTAACCAAGAGATTATTATTTGCTTGGCTATTTAAATGGGGCTCTTGGCTTGTGTACACCTAGGTTTTGATCCCAATAGTAATTTCTCTTCATTCCACAAAGCATGCATACAGATTGGTGAAATATATGCTTTTCTTTTCCTCCAAGGATTCCCAATATCCTCAAATGACTCCTAATGAGCCACACAAGCAGTCAACTGAAATGGTCTTTTGTGAAAGCTAAACAGTGCTACTTGCAAACTATTTAAAATTAAGTTGTGTAGTTCATTTAAAATCTACTTTTATTCATCACTCCTAGTCATTGTCAGTCATTCTTTCACAAATACAGTACATAGAATGGACATAAAGCAGTAATGTGACCTAAAACAGGAGTAACCTGGACTCAAAGCAAGACTAAACCAGGAAAAAAAAACAATCTACCTCAGACAAATTTTGTCTTCTGCATTTAGCGCTCATTCTCCATCTGTTTCCACTCACATCAGAACATATAAAACACACTCATTTAGAGTTATTGACAAACGTTTCACAAAAAGTACCATTCAAGAAACTACTTCATACTTCTGCATCCATCATAACCAATTATTCCAGCCTCTGTCTCAAGTCCAAACAACAGTTGGTGGGTTAAATAATGTCTGAATTCCATCTCTAGCTCTTAATAAGGATTAGCCAAAGGAGGATAAATATGTGGAAAACACAAAATATTCTAAACATTGTCAACAATTGGATGACAGAGGAATTAGTGAGCCAAAAATGCAAACATATGGTAGACCTTCATTAATTCCTCATTCAGGCATTCAGTTATTAAGTGGACCCATTTCATTGGCTGTGATTTGATTTAGTCTTCTTCCCTCTTCTAGATCGGTGCATTACAATTCTGAACGTCTCAATATATGAACCTATACTGAAACAAAACTGTGTCCAGTCTGAGGGATCGGACCGACTGACCCCATGGAACGTTGAAACACAAGTACAAACGACACATGGGCCAGATCGAGGGAGCTTTTACACTGGCTCACATATCCAAAATCGTTTTTCTATTGCACATTTCAAAAACAAGTTGTACAGAAGTAGCCAGCTAAAAAACACATAGGACTCACTTCTCAATCAACCACACCACAGTTGAATCATGCAAACAACCTGCGCGTTTCTGTATGTTGCCTTAAACACCGAGACTGCAGGTGTGAACCAGGCATCACATCCAGAAACACACAAGGAGGAAGTTTAATACTGAAACACGGCCGGTAATTAAGCAGCGCTAGCTCCTTTAAGCACTCTGTGTTATTGCTGCGTTTATGACCCGTCACTCAATAAGCATGTGTTTTTTTTTTTTACCAGGACAGGGGACGAAACACGGCTGCTCCATCTCCTGCTGCACGGCCCTCCTCAAAGCGTCTCCACACAGATCGAGGGGGACGGCCTGAGCTGTGGTCACGTTCCCCAAGTGGACCACACATGAGAGGCTCCTCCTGCGAATGCCCTCCCCACAATCTGCTCCCTGCACACACACACACACACACACACACACGCACACGCACACGCGCACAGGTACAAACAGGGGTCTAATATTAGCACAAGGACAGAATGCATCCCATTAACCTGCTCATAATAAAAGATGTGGCCTATTTGTGAGGTTAATTAGTATCAAGTGCATGGTGCTAATGTGAAATCCAGCCCTACTGTTCTGAGTTGAAGATCTGTTTCCCATAAGACATTTTAAAGTTCTGATGTCATAAGATTTCACAAACTGGAAATAATCAAACAATAATAATGTTTTCATCCATGTTCAATTTCAACAACAAGGTGTGTCTAAGGACAGGACTTGGGATAAGAAGGAAAATGATACTGGTTGATCCATTGTCTAACATAAGATTTACCAATCATAATTTTCAAAAATTAATATTTGGCCTAATTAAAAAAGAAATCATTTTTAAAACTTTCAGACTATTCCCTAAATGCACTCAGAGAAATGCACTCAAGATCATGCAAAGTCCAGTTTTAGAATTCATAATTTTGCTGTTCTGGTCTTTCTGTAAAAAAACAAAATAAAATCTTAATGTTTGAGGTTGTAACAAGACAAATGTTCTAATATTATCACTTCAGTAAGGCACTGTAACTCTGGAAGTCATGTCTAAATCCATAGTTGGTGACTTGCAACAGTGCTACTTAGAAACCGCTCAAAGAAAAATAAAAAGCTGCTAAAATCGTACTCCTCAAATAACCTCAAATCTAGTAAACTAATACAAATATCAAATATGACAGCACGTGGAAGGTACAGAACAAAAGTGACCAAAGCGGGTCTAAGTGTAACTATTATGATACCATAGCTTACATTATACATTACAGTACAAGTATTTATACTATTACAACATTATCTCATATTTCCAGGACCGTAAAATGACACATTAAAAACAGTGACTCAGGTCTAAGGTACGGTCCTCACTGACTTACAAGCAAACAAATACATGTTATGGTCATACCTCTACACCGCACGCCGACCAGTCACTCAGCACCCAGTTATAGCAGGGTTTTATGGGGCAGGGCTTGGTCTGGGTGAGCCGGCTGGGACACGGGCGACCCTCATCATGGGCGTGTTGTAAAATCCTCCTGGAGCGGACCGACTGACCTACAAACACCAAGACCAATGCATCAATCACAACAGGCAATCTCCATCAATAAATCGATTACGACGGTCACGCTACATCCTTATCCGTCTGTGGGCGCTGATCTAAGAAAAGCGGTGACATTTTCCCGCGTGAGGATGACAAATAGCGAGCGAATGAAAGCCGAATGAAAAAGCGGTGATATTTATACACTGGAGACTAAATGCACGTGGGACACAGCGAATGCATCAACGCGCAAACACAAACGCCTCATAAAGAATCAGTTAATAAAAGCTTAGCCATGGAGATGAGTGATGATCTGTGGCTCACGAGGGAAATGCCGCCTTGGCTTTCTCTTTACCCCTGGAAATATCTGCGCAACGACAAAGAGGAATTAACGCCAGGGCCCATACATCATGTGTCAGCCGAGCACTTTACGCTCATATCCAGGCCTTTCCAACACAAGTGCCTGCTTCAAGTGTGTCATTAATATTGGGAAGCAAGTTTGGGGAAAGCAGCGGCGGTAGGTAACAACAGCTGCCACCCACTGAGTTTTGAGCAGAGAAATAAAAGTTTAGTGGTCTCAATCTGCTGCGGTAATGACAGAGGTGACGGTGGCAGAGCATGCATAGTGAGATGACATTTAAGGGAGTTTTGCAAGAAAAGTGGTCTGGAAATAAGAGTTTTGCCTGTGCTATTCGTGTTTGCAATGATAAGGGAGAAATTCTATACATTTTGGGGGTATTGGGATTTTAAACGGAGTAAGGAAGTAAAGCCTATTTATATATAGAACCTTTCACAGAAGTCACAAAGTTCTTCACAACAGTAATTAAGAAAATATAATTAATTAGCTTGTATTTTATTTGATTCACAAACACATTTCAGACTTCCAGCTCAACCAGGGCAATCTGAAAGTTCTGGTTCTGCCCCTGGTGGTGAACATGCCTGGAACAAGGGCTGTGACATGTTAATCAATGAAATGCAACACATATCTATCTTTTTATTTTCTAAAAATCTAATTTAGTGATTGAATAATTGTTGAGTGAATCTTACATAGATTTAGCTGAGAGTTTTATGACTCTGATAATACTAGATTAAACTGAACAGCAGAATGAAATGAAAATTAAATGAAAAGTTCTCTCTATGAAGATCTTCTCACTTGAGCTTATTTTTGGTGAATATGGGATGTATAGCAAATGCCAATTAATTATCTAACCTTTTGGGATCAAGAAATTAATTGATTAATCAAAATAATTGCTAATTACAGTCCTCCCGAGAACACCACTCCATCCAAGGAGGCGACCAAAAGAAATGCCCGAGCCGCCTCAGCTGGCTCCTAGATCTGTGGAGCAGCGGCTTTACGCAGTGCTCTTCCAATGTGAGAACAATAAGCAACAGCCAGTAACACATGTCAGCACACAACACTTTTACACACTGAGCCCCAGTTCCATTCCTGACATAAAAGCAACAAAAGGCTACGAGAAGTATCTGACATAAACAGTAACAGTACTGTAACAGTATAATGAGAAGAACACAGACACTAGAACTGTCTCATTAAAATCTGCCTATTTAAATATGGGGGTTAACAGTGAGGAGACATGTAGGCTGAAAACAAATTAAAATGAATAAACTCGGCCTAATTAAAGAATAACAGACTTTGAATCTTGAAGAGAGGAACAATGTATGCATCCAGGCTAAATCATTAGTCTGGCGTGATATGCAAGGTCAGAAAATGGCGCACACAAACGCGTGGAGGCAGTTTGCTGATTACTAATTGCATTTTTTAGCATGCACAACAAGTCTATTATAATTTATTAAGTTGGAATGCATTATTTATATATATTTAAATTAAGTTTCATTAACATAAACAAATGTGAATACATTAAATAGTTTAAACTCTTGTCTTGAGATTAAATACAAAGCATACATAATTAAAGTGGAGCAGTGCCATGCTTTATCCTGTAATAAGCCGTACACTTGTAAATATTTCAATGTATTTAAATCTATTCATAAACTATTTAACTCTGTGATAACAGTGTGGATGGAATAATGAGCTGCTCTTTCTATAGCTGGTGTTTACTCATATAGACAGCGCCCCCTGTGGACGTAGTTATAGTTACATCATGTTTACCTTGGTTTCCACAGCTGTGGGAGCACTCGGCCCACGACGACCAATCAGAGAGCACACAGCTGACGGGACAGTCCACCTCACAGCTCTCTGACACGGTCCAGTTGTTGAGCAGGCCGTACTGTCACAAAAGAGGAAGCGACAAAAGTGTTTATATTATTGAACACACTGATGCTGCAGCACGTGACCAATTGGTGTTGGATCCATCTCTAGATGTTCTTGGCCAAGACCTTATCTGAAGGATTATGCTTCTGATGGTCCAGAGGAAACCCACCCAGTTACAGGGAGTCACACAGAAAGTTCAAACTGGGGGCTTCTTGCAGTGGATTGATAGATTGCTGCCCTTATTAAAATTAATGAGGCACCAGACTGCACGCTTTAACTCTAACTATTCTAAACATCTCACTCCTGGAAGGGGGTATTTGTTTCTGCCGTAGTTTGATAAGGCCTTTTCTAAGTGCAGGTCTAAATCTCGATTGTCACACAACATGTAATACTTCAGAGCTGTCGTGGAAATATTCCTCTAAGCTGTAATCACGTTCTTACCTCCTCAAGCTCCTTAAACACATCTGAGGTTATACTGCACTCCTGTCACTCAAAGGAGTAATCGGATTGTGGGAAGAAGAGATCAAAAGCATGTTGTACAAGATTTCTATTTTGAAACTGTGCTAAAATCCAATTCCCTGCCAGTTCTTTATAACTGTAAAGAACATGTTAGGCCTATATTTTATTATCCTTTTAAAATCCACAAAGCACAATTTAAAGATGTATGTTTTTTCAACTGAGCAAAAAAAAAAGGAAATATATCTGAAGTTTATTCCATTCTAAGAAAATGCTGAGATACAATCTACCACTGGACTATTGCTAGCATAGCTTTGTTGATATAGACAGATGAACTTCATTACATTTATTTTGTGATCAAATACAAGATAAGCACAACTAACAAGCACAAATAAAGCTGGGGCTAGAAATGTACCTCAGTTGTCCCTACTGTATAGCGCTCACTTAAGCTTTGAAATATTCACGTTTTCCTTTCTAATAATGAAATAGAGGAAACCATGTACATTCAAATAGCAATTCACATTCACTTCTAAATAATGGTAAGAAAAACACATTTGAAACCCCCTTTTTCAATGTAGCAATGAGCATTTAGAGTTTTTGAAATCCATTTGAGACTGGCATGGAAGTACTTGAAAGCATTGTGGCAGACCCCATAAAAGCCTCTAATAACAGGGGACCTTAGGAACATGCACACTCCACCACAAGCGCGTTTTCTTTTCCCAGCGCAGTCCCCGAAGCCATTATTTATCTGCATAACCGACCAAATAATAGTATTCACAGTGGGCTACAGTATCATGAAGTCCAATCACAACAGTAAATGCTTGACTAGAAACTGATTGTACATTACCTGTTCGCATTTGCGCATCCCCACCATCTTCCCGTCGCCGCGGAGACAGTCGAGGCGCCGCACTTTTGAACCCGGGCCACACAACGCATTCTCACTCAGCTGACAAGTGCTCCAGTCTGCAATCAAAAAAGCATTCCACAGTCCATATACAGCTCACCTTATTGACAGTAACCTCAATCACCCAGATTGTATATAGGAGCTTGTTTGGCATGAATTCTATTATAAATCAACATGTAAACAGCACAAAAGGTGAATAGACTGTGATGTTTGTACCTGACACTTTGTACTCATATGTGAAGCATGTTGAGTTTTGAATGCAGGCCTCTGATTGGGTGAGGTCTGGACACGCCGACTTGTCATTGGCAGGGAATCGGAGGACGTGTCTGCTCCTGGACCGGGTGCTGTTTTGATCGCACTAAACGGATGACAAAGAATCATTTTAGTTTTTTTTTTTAATGGAGCTATTTTTGCAGAACTTGGAACGCGCCACAAAAAGGTGCGGTATAATTAATAGCCTCTTCACTTGTTTGTCTTTGTGTGAGAGAAAAGTGAAAGGATATACCAGACAAAGCATGTCAATCATATTCTGTTTGTTTGTAAAATAATAAATATTACGCATTGTTGTAGACTATTCAAAAAAATACAAGTAAAAATAAGTATCTTCAGAAAAAATATATGGTGAAACAAGTATCAAGGAAACTATCAGCCTGCCCTACCCCTAAGCTACCACTAGAGGGAGATATAGGTTTTATTTTTTCCAAATTAGGAAAAATACCATCTGAAAACACACATTTCCCCTGAGAAATTTCCAAAACTAATTTATGGGCAATGCGTGGGAATAAAGGTTTTGCCCATATATTAGTATATGGGCAAAACTTTATTACGGGACTGAGACAGAAGGGGCGGAGTTACATGTCTGTGCCAGAAGTTCCTCATATTAGTGTGGATGGAATTTATGCATACAGCCCATTCTGAATAGTAAACAGAATACTGGCAGGTTCTGGAGGAAGAATTGGGGACATGAGTGGCTAATGTTTTCAATAATGAGAACCTACACAATGAGAAATACCTGGAATACACCTTACTTAAAACAACAAGGTTCATTGAAGAAAAACTTGTAGTGATGTTGTTGCACTTTTGTTTGCCCTTTTCCCAAAAAAAAGTCTTTTGCAATTCAGAAGTTACTTTTAGAGGAGTCTTGGCCCATTAGGCGCCTAATGATTTTGGGGGGTAAGTGAAAACAGGGGGAAAGTTAGAAACATCAGGGACACAAGGAAAAGACACATGGAAATAGGACCGAGCAAAAATACAGAGAAACACACACCTTGTTTGTCAAATGACATTTTGTTAAATTACTCCTTTATCAGACACCCTTCGCAAATTACAGCTTTTACTTTTAAATGTAATGTTAAGAATTTGAATTGTATTTCACTTCATATGACTATGTAATATCATGTAAAGCAAGTCTTTTACAAAAACTATATTTGAACTAAAAGTTAGACCAATGACAAGGGACCTCATTTGTGTATAAAAGATTTAAAATAATTCTGTCCAATCAGAAGACAGTAAAGGTAAGAATGGGCGGGTCTAACTGCTGCTTGCCTCGTCTCTTTGCACGATTCAAAAAGTAATTGACTTTCACTATTAAGGTTGAATCTCTTCTGCTAAGTGTGTGTCTGTGTGTGCGTGTGTTTGTGTGTGTGTGTGCGCGTGTGTATGTCTGTGTGTGCGCGTGTATGTGTGTGTGTGTGTGTGTTTTTCCACTCAACATTCTTATCGTTTGATATCTGTGAGGCAGCACAAGTCTGTTTCTTTTTCTACAACAAAGATTGTATCACAGCCTCCTAGCTCTTATCTTCTTTTGGTAACTATCTTAAAGTAGGACCGAAACTTATGCAGTGAGAAAATAATAATTGGTGCTATCTTTTTGTGGTAATAAAGTTAAGAACTGTTGAGTAAATGTGACAAATACAAATCCGAGGTCATTCCATTGCACTCCGATAACACTCCGATAACATGCAGACCTGTGAGCGCTGGTTTGGCTTAAATGTGTTGTTAAAATGCAGAATCCAACTGCATTCATTTGAAGAAGCCATTTTAGGAGCACAGCCACATCATAAAGTTTTACAGTCTCATCTAAAACCACTTTGTCTGCGCAATCTGGTCTGGAGGACACAGAATATTAAAAACTGAACCTCACTTTAAAGAATGTAGTCGATAAATGCACAAAAATGTCCATTTACCAGCGAGACATAAAATTGAAATGGACTTAGCTGAAGGGTTTCGAAGGCCCACAACAGAGTACAGTATGTTTTAAATGTATGAACAGAGCGGGCCGTACCGTCACATAAGAGGAACCGACAAAAGTGCATATATTATTGAACACACTAATGCACGTGACCACTTAGTGTTGGATCCATCTCTAGATGTTATTGGCCAAGACCTTATCTGAAGGATTATGCTTCTGATGGTCCAGAGGAAACGGGAGCGCACACAGCAAGTTCAAACTGGAGTCTTCTTGCAGTGGATCGGAGGCTTGCTGTGTCCTTATTAAAATAAATGAGGCACCAGACTGTACGCACTAACTCTAACGATTCTAAACATCTCACTCCTGGAAGGGGGTATTTGTTGTAATTTCATGTTTCTGCTGCAGTTTGATAAGTCCTTTTCTAAGTGCGGGTCTACATCTCGTCACACAACATGTAATACTCCAGAGCTGTCGTGGAAATATTCCTCTAAGCTGTAATCACTTTCTTACCTCCTAAAGCTCCTTAAACACATCACACTGAAGTTATTCTGCACTCCTGTCACTCAAAGGTATAATCGGATTGTAAATGTATCAGCAGAACACAATGTTGATCAATATCATTACAACACAAAAAATATGATTTATAATTGGAGAGGGGGTGGGAATAAATATGTTTCTACTATAACCCATTCTTTTCAAACGTGTTTAAAAATCATGTGAATTCAACACTGTTTTGGTAGCTCTTTTTATTTTTATTATGTATAAAAAAATATATACAAAACAATAAAAGAGTACAATAATATAAATAAAATATTTTTTTTTAAAGGGGAGTCATTAAAAATACTCGATAATACTCAAAACACTTTAAAGCTTAAGCACCCCAGCTTTACCTTGAGCAGAAAACAATTGTTATTTTTGCAGGTCTAGAACAGGTCTTAAGTAGGACTAAAGCAGGTCTAAAGCAGAACTAAAGCAGGACTAGCCTGTTTGTACCACACCATCGTAAAAATTTCATCTTGGATTTGCTCGGATTGGATTCAACCCATGTAACTGCAGACACTGGGACCAGACCTAGACGATTATGTAGGGAAATAATAATTGACCAGAGATTACAGGAGGCTAAGGGCAGGCTAAAGCAGGACTAAAGCAGGTCTAAAGCAGGACTAAAGCAGGTCTAAAGCAGGTATGAAGCAGGTCTAAAGCAGGTCTATTTTAAATGTACCTGCATTGTAAGCGGCATTGATTGAATTTTGTCTTATCTTATGTGAGTTGTGCGGCAGTTTCAATTACAGCCCCCACAATTGAATCAATCCAATCCACTTTACTCCTCTTGCACATTTTATAGACAAGGATAAGTTCCAAAGTGTGAAATAACTTTTATTTCTCACACATTTTGAGGAGGAAGAGGAGATAGCTGGAGGGACGTATCACAGCACACCACATATCGCTACCTACTCTATGTCATGCGAGTTGCCCATAGCACCGCTTTACAATCTCACTTAATACTGGCTACATCCTCCTGTGAGCTGAAACTCAGAAACCGCCCAGAGCCAAAACACCATGACCAATTACAATGGGCCTGTAGATTTTGCACCAAGCCTTAGTCCCATCTGTACAAGCCTTTCTCTCTGTGCGGTGAACTCCTCATAGTGAGAGGGTGAAAACTCAAATATATGACATTCGAATAGACTACAGCGTTTTACATGGTGGCTCTTGTACGGGGTTATGTTATATATGGCAGGCAAACCAGCAGCAAATGTTGAATTAATAATGCCGGTAAATTTAATTGGCTGCTAACTAATGAGAGGAGACTGCAGTGTACAAAGGCGCAAGATTAAATTCACCCAAATCGTGGCACAGCATTATGGAACACCTTGCTGGAACACAGACGTAACAGGACCTATACGGTGGGGACGGGTCCTAGCTCGAAAAAGTCCATTAGCAAGGTAGCAATTAGAAGGTCCTGGGTTTGAATCCCGGTCGGAACAGGGACTTTCTGAGTGAAGTTTGCATTTTCTCCCCGTGTCTGTGTATGTTTCTTCCAGGTGCTCCAGTTTCCCCCACTACTAAAAACATTCACAAAGGTATGAATGTAATGAGAGAGTGAATGGATGGTGTTGGTTGGGGGCTTTGACGCGCTCCTGTGTCGGCGTCTCGCTTCTGTCATCACCGTGTGTGGAATGATTGCAACAATATCTGCACCCAGAACATTGTAAAGCTTTGGGTGACCTTGGTCTGTAAAATGTGCTACATAAATAAACATTACATTACGCACACAAAACTAAAAGTAAAGTTTAACACACAGTCCCCAAAGCAAAAAGCAAAATTAGAATACGTTTGTTCAAACTCTAGATAAAACCACCTGCTATATGATAAAAACCTGTGGAAATAACAACGCTAAAGGACATGCACTTATCACTTTGCTTTTACCAAGAGAAACATTAGCTACATCTGTTTAGCCCGGAGCATCACCTTCAGCATTATCATTACCATTTCCACTCAATGAAAACCATAATTTGTTCATAAATATTTGTTCTTGCAATAAAAAATGTGTTCAGTTAAAGCTTAGGGATAATAATCTGTTGTCCAGACAATGGCATAAGCTACGTCTGTTTTAGCCGAAAGCGTTTTCCACATCTCACATTGCAAACATCTTAGGATTTAACTTAAAAAACAAAACACAGTACAATATTTGATATGCTCATGGTGTAGAGGTTTTTTTTGGTACTTTGTGGTTTTGTTTAGCTTTTTTTCCCTGGTCCCTGTTCTAATTGATTGTCAGCCCCCGCCCTAATGCTCCCTGTGTCTCTGTGGGTCTCTATGTCTCTTGCCCGATTTGTTTCTGGTACAATTTTTAGGTCTGTCCGTGTTCCTTGGACATTTATTTTCCTGCATTTGGAGTCCTATTTTGTTTTTCACCTCATGACACACACCAGCTTGTCTCATCAGTGTGATAATGTCATTACTGTATTGTATTGCATTAAGCAATCCAATATCACTTACTATATGTGGTAATTATGATTATAGATTAGGCTTCCACTTCAGAATAATATGATGCAACGCAAAATTCCACTAGACATGTGAATTGTGGTATTGTATGTTTTTGTGGGTCAGCGGGAAATTGAAGAAAATGGAATATTGTTGAGGAAGGAGTCGAGCATATCTAATAACTCAAAGCAGGATTAGGAGTGAATGACAGTGAAATTACACCATAATCAAAAGCATAAATGCCAATAAAATAGACTCAAATGACACCTTCAGTAATTGGAGCAATCATTTTCTTGGGCCCAGCTCAAGGATCAAAAGGAGACGAGAGAAGAGCATGCATCAAGGACATTTTAAATAGAACAGTCTTTTTTTCAAATGCACATAGTATTAGTGCTATACAAGAAAAAAACTTGCCTCCTCTTGCTGTTGAACTAGGAGGTGACCAAATGACTAAAAAGGGACTGGATGGAGAGGAATAGTATAAAGTCAGAGGTAATTGGCATCCATACTTCGGAGGAAGGAAGTTAGTTACGCACATCAGAAAACTCTTTTAGAAGGGCAGATGCAAAAGACAAAATAATATAGTCTAAAGAAAGCATTGCACTCTAGTGGCAGATGTCAATTAATTATTCATAAAGATGTGTCGGCCACAGAGGTCTGTCATTTCAGACGAGACAGAAACATACAATTGAAGTGGCTATATTCAGTTTTTTTACAACAAAGCCTCAAAATGACCTTGTATGCATGGAAATACTAGAGAGGCTATAAAACAACACAGTCAAGTAGGATTTCTAGATTTCAGTAGTTCTTATTTCTGAAATTTGCAGCCCTCATTGAGACTCATACCTGTAGACAGTTGGTCCAGGGTCCCCACAGTGACAGCACACAGTCTTGGGGACAGGAGAGGGAGCAGACCTGGGCTGTGGGGGGCATCTCCTCCTGGTCACAGCGACCGTCCTCCACCGTGGTGAGGTCTCCAGTCTGTGCTTCCAGCTTCACACACCTAACAGGGAAGAAGAGGCAACTGTGTAACTAGTCTCCAAGGCTGGCTCTAACTGGGTCACTTTCAAAACACAACTCCAAGTAGTAGAGAACAAATCATTATAATAGGTCTCAGCAGATAAGTAGGTAGATATATACTTTATACTTTACTTTTTATTGTATATATATATATATATATATATATATATATATATATATATATATATATTCATGTATATCCTGCATTTAACATGTTTGCACATTTCTTTCTTTTGCACAACCTTGCGTGATTCTATCCATACCAGATGTGACAAATTTCTCCTGTGTGAGATCAATAAAGTCTATCTTATCTTAAAGCTGGAGTAGAGAACTTTGAAACCACAATAAAAGAACTAGTTCCATGCTCTAAACACTGTTCTATCGCTAGTTTTCACATATATTTGGCCTCTTTGAATCAACTTTTCACAGTGAAAGCAGAGTGAGAGCACTAACCTCCATCATCACTTCTCTCTGTGTACAGGTGAAACTACAATCCCTCGCTACATCACACTTCACCTTTCGCGGCCTCGATGTTTCAGAGGTTTTTTGTGTGTGCAATTGTGTGGATCATGCACAACATCTTATAACAGCGAGTATATTAGCTGACTTTTTTGTGGCTTGTGTGCAATGGACTAGCGCTGTCTTCCCATAACCCTCAGTCCCCCATCCCAACCGCAGAAATATGAAACCCGTTTGTTGTAGGTCTTAGTGCTGCTGCAGCTATCAAAAGCTGTGCATACACTGTAAAATTCAGCTGCAGAGGATGCAGAGGGACATCTGTATTTTCCTTCAGAACAGACAGGTTTGATATTTCCTCCATTGCGCTTCAGTAGTCATGGGTTCAGGCGAATGGAAAAGTGTGTGGTTAGTGGCTGCTGCTTCATGGAATTAGCTTATCAAGGGTTATTTTTAGAACGTAACCCAACAATAAACAAGGAACCGTTATATTCTAATGTTTTTGAGAAAAAACGCAACAAAAAAGTCTAGAATTGCAAAGTGGAATGATCTGTCAAAGGAAGTAATTTATTGAAATATCCGAACAATTTTCTTGCCTTTTCAGCCACCGTTTTTTGTTCTTTCTTTGACCTGGCGGAGGACTGATTGGGATAATTAGCACTTCAGGTCAAGCTGCATGATACATTCCATTTATAAATGTATGAATAACTATTATTACAGATAATTTATTTTCTCAATTTGATTGGAGTAGTGCGTGTAAGAGGATTACATGCTTCCGTCGGGTATACAGCAATCTATAAGACTCAAGTTCAAGTTTATTTGCCAATTGCAATTAAAAAAAAAACAAATTGGACTGAAGAAAATCTTGGCTGGACAGCATTCAAATTCTCTCTCACACACACATGCACGCACGCACACACACACACGAACACATAGAGACGCAGGAAAAGCAGTAAAAAGGATTGTTTAAATTTAAAGTCTATGTGATCTAGGATGATGTTAGCTTTTTTTTTTTTTTTTCAGCACATTCACAACTACGCCAGCTGCCCAAAGTAATTCTCATGCATAAAACATAAAGGAAAATACAATAATTAGACAAACACAATAGAATAAAACAATGTAATAGGTTGCACCCCTCCCTGCCTGGGAGTTGCTTCAGTCCTGCTCCAGACGACGTTCTACAACCGTCCACGTTCTACAACCGCTGCGTGGCCTTGGTCCTCGTTCTGTATCTTAGGTCTGATCGGATCCCTCTCTCAATGTGGATCTCCCAGAGGTTTCACACTTTACTCCCACAGGGTTTTAGAGTTTTTCCTCTAATGCAGGAGACTGTCAGACTGTTAGTGTCTAACAGTCTAACAACTGTGGTGGTGATCCAGGACACTTTAACGTTCTACAACATGTATGGACATTTATCAATATTCATGGACATTGGTCTCTCCCTATGGACCAATACATATGTGTACTATATTCTTTGTGTCTTAACTTCTCTGATCTGTGTTGACCATTTCAGCGGTTCTGTTAAGTCCTCTGAGATGACTACAGTTGTGATTAAGTCAGAATTAAGTCAATTGAATTTAATTGTAATACAATAAGCAAGTCTGTATTCAGTCCTGCTGAATATGTAAATTATTCAAGTATGCATGGATTGCTCTAAAAACAAATTTAAGTGTGGAAATGGCATGAGAAAATAACTATACCATGTTCAGAAGCTTAAAGTCATAGCTGCCCGTGTTCTCCCCTAAATGAACACAATGCAACTAATTCATTATACCTGTATTTATTTCAATCTCAAAAGCCATAATGTTTTGCTTGATATTTGCAGCCCTTATTAGTAAAGATGGAGGAGTTTGGACAATTTGCATTCCTTGGGCAAAGCCAGAGTGGAGGCTGATGGTGTCGTGCCAGCAGAAAGACCCAGTCAGTATGTCAGTTCCCAGTGAATGTCGAGCAGCCAAAAGCCTGTGCCCAGTGTCCAGTGCCAGACTGAAGGGTTTACTGACCTGATCTTGCGGCTCTGGACTCCCTCTCCACAATCTGGCCCGTCGTTCACACTGTTGATGGTACAAATGGACCAGGGCTCGATCCGCCACTCGTACTGGCTGCAGTCAGTGTGACACGGCACTGCTTCATACACCTGCGGATAAAAGAAACGTGGATTTGTGCATTGTGGATAAGCAGCGGCCAGATAACAAAGAGTTTACCAAAAGTCCCTCAACTTGCTTGTCTCAATACAGATGCTTTGATTGATTGGTTTTAGGGCTGGGCGATATGGCAAAAAAGAAAAATCTCGATTTAATTTCCTGCTTTGGACGATTTTGATTTTAAATCGATTTTTATTAAAGTCACTGAAGACAGACTTTGCCCTTAAAAATATGTTTTGATCTTTCAGCTCAGACTGTGCTGATATTGCAAGTATACTTCATGTGTTGCTGGAATTCTCACAATATGCTTCATTCGATTTCACGATTTTCACATTTTTCGCAAATTAGATTTTTTCAAAAGCCGATTAATTGCCAAAATTAGATTTATTGCCCAGCCCTAATTGGTTTATTTATTAAAACAGAAATCTAGCCTCTATTTTTTTGTTGTGTTTTTGAATGGATTTTTATGTATCTTTTATACCTGCTTTTATTTAACAGGGGTCTTTTTAAACTGGGTCCAACAAACCATTTCCACTTTTGACACCATTTCCACTTTTGACAAAAGTGTGTTTTCTTTTTTGAATAAAAAAAGAAAGCTGCGTGGGTGAGCATGCGTCTAAACAGTGTCCCAAGTCTTCAAAATGTCACCTCCAATGAACCCCCTATAGCCTATGAAAGTAGCAGTTGGGTTTCTTTTAGTGCTGTCCAAAATATCGCGTTATTAGCGCGTTAACGCAAATCAATATTAACGGCGTCATTTTTTTTATCGCCATTAATTTTTTTTATAATTATTAAAAAAAAAAAAAAAAAAAAAATTTTTTTTTTTTTTTTACTTTTTATTGCAGACAAACACATATACAGAAAAAAAATGGACACAAAGAAAAGGACTAGTTAAGATACATTGTAGACAGAGATTACAAACAATATGTAGTTGGAGATACAGGGGGCCAAAGAAGAAACCCAGAAGGGCACATAGGGGGGGGGGGGGGGGGGGGGGGGGACATGAAGTGGGAGATGGGGGGGAGGGGTTAATAAAAAAGGCAATACAAGCAAACAGTATACAGTCATAGATATACCGAAAGTAAACAGAGAAACACTATAGAGTATTTACATGAACAAATTTACAAAAAAATTGTTTATCATCATCATAATGACACCATGATGTTTCTATACAGTCTATGGTCTATACCCACACATACACACACACACCCACACCCATAAACACACACACTCCACACACACATTGAAGGGGCTTTTTGTTACCAATTATTTATTTTGTCATCCATTTATTGATGATTTTGCATCAAATGTTAGTGTGTAATATAACACTACACATTGTTTTCAATAAAAAAAGAAATTGCACACAGCACGCAAATGGGTGACTAATTTGCGATTAATCGCGAGTTAACTATGAAATTCATGCGATTAATCGCGATTAAATATTTTAATCGTTGGACAGCACTAGTTTCTTTACATACATTTACTACTATTGTAACATTTAAACATAGACAGACACATATTCATAGAGTTCCAACACTCTATAAAGAACAGTTTGTAAGTTTGTAAGCTGGGAACCACAGAGAGAAAACAAACTTATGTATGAAAAACATACTGTATATCTTAGGCTGGCAGTGCATTCCATACTATTTTATTGACACAGAGATGAATAAAAGATATGAAGGAAACAGCATGGGGCTCATAAAACACCAATGAGGATGGCTTTTGTGGACGGGATTGTAAAAAATGTACATTGAACGGAATACAAACGATGTAAGTATGGCAAAATATGTATTAAGGTTTGTCAAATTGCTGCCGCAGTTTTCCTTGACGGCAAAACTCACTCCCTCTAAAAACAACAAATGTAATGGCGTCTTTATATAAAATCAGCATTCTGAGCTTCTCCCCCCATTCATCAAGCCCCTTGTGATGCTTACTGTTATGAAAGCAAACGTTATTCTGCTTGATTACCGACCAATGCTTACCCAGTTCCCTTTCGTAAACCAGGGACTAGTAACTATGGCAACTAGTCCTGTAAACAAGCGCATTTACTCTCCATCTACGTAACAATCTGCCAGAGTAAAAGGTATACTCCAGAGAACAATTTGTGTGGAAAGCCATGACAAGCTGTGTGGAAGTGAGTGTATGTGTGTGCGCTTGTTTGTGTGTGCGTGCGTTCGTATGTGTGTGTGTGTGTGTGTGTGGGTAAACAGGCTGCAGAATGAGTATGCCCTCCCCACGGGCCTCCCAGATGCCTATTACACTCCTCATCATCTCCCATCTGTCCCTGCAGATGCCCTGCTGGGTAAACTGGCATCTACTGCATCCACTCCCACCACAGCACTGCAGCAGAGAGAGCGCCGCCATTCACAACGATACGAGCACAGGGGCTGCCGGAGCTTTGATTACACAGAAGGTGTATTAGTAGACCAAAAAAAAAAAGTATTGTTTTTAATGAAATGGCAAGGATTGATGTGGGGAATGTGCAAATAAGGAGAAGGTGTGGATTCCCTATAAAGGCTTCATAGGTAGTGGGTTTGTAATGTCCTTTTACATACATCTTTATCTAAATTAGCTTCACAGTGTAGAGTTGAGTCCCTGCGTCTTGTAAGTTCCACTACCACTAAAAACATGGACAATCTGGTTTAATTACAGCACTGATGTTCATTTACACACAACCAAATAAACACATGAATAAATGCAGTTTTAAAGGATGAAAACAGGTCAGGACTATTGAGTCTGGGTGTTTTTCTTCACGTATTTGAAATTTTAGCTCGAGCTTTTCAATAAAATCAGGAAAAACAATTGATAAATGAACCAAGTGAGTACAAGGATCCTAGAGATGTGAAAAGGAACTAAAATTATAAAAGTGATCTAAAACACCAACTATGAAAACTATAGTAACAAGCTCATACAACAATTGTGGTAAACTATCACATCTTTGAATAGTAATGCAACTGTATGATTGGGGGTTCTCATGCAATTACAAAAAGTACAGGAAAGGAACAAAAGGCCAAACAATGCTCTCCAATTGGATCCAGTGCAGACAAAAGAATGCGAGGGAGCAAAATGCCGTCACACAGATTCAATAAAGCTGCCCTTTCAAATGCTTACTTTCATCTCTACCATTATATTTTTCATCTCAAGAGTAAAAAGAAGCTATATTTGGGCCTAATTGGCACCAATCAAGTCCTCTTCTAAATGTGTGTTCAGGAAAAGCGCAGGATGGCTGTGAGAGTGGCATGCGTTTAGTCTAATTGTCTAAAATAAAAAAAGAATGAACAGCACTAACCTGAGCCTGTGCAGATGTCCATGTTAGCAGTGCAAGACAAGCCAGGGGGGTGAGGGGGAGAGAAGACAACGATAGATGGATTAGTTTTGTATTTTCTGCGCAATTATCACATGTACAGTCACATCTTAGTGGTTGACTGGAAATAAACTTGGAAAAGCTGTTGGCAGCAAGAAAAGATAATACTCCAGAGAATCAAAGGTTTAGTGCCCATATATCGGCCCTGATTTATTAACCTTGCATAGGGATGGGTGTGTATTCTGGTATCGTGGAAATACACCGGAGGGCGCGTCACTCTGATGAAAACCAGCATCATTTGCATGAAACGCCTCAAATATTAATGTTTGTCACACCCAAAGAAAAGCCAAATCTAAGCAGAAAATGATAAAGAATTGCTTAAAAGGGAAAGTGTGCTTCCGATTTATAGATCTACAGTGATATAGACCAGGCTCAGATGGTCTATGGTTCAGACCAGGTTCACAAGAGGGGATAATGATTTGATTCAATATTAACACTTTTTAAATTGTGTTTGGAGAAGAGTCTGATGAAATGTGTAATTTTGTCCTAGACATCACATGATTACGACAGCGTAAATCAAAATCAAGTTTTGAGGTGGGGGTTCATGGGGCAGCGGCGCAGTAATCATGGGGGTGGCCGGCTAAAAGGTTTGGGAACCCCTGAGTTGAGGAACCCTCTATGTCTGGTCAAGCCGAGCCATATAGGTCTAGGGCTAATGGTATAATTATTGCCATGTAAATGTGAATTTATCTGAACAAAAGCAGAGTCAAGATCAGCCAAAAGATTCCTTATAAGCTGTAATGTGAGCAGAGCTGGGACATGAATAAATGAATACGTGTTGAGATGTGAGGGAAAGGCCATGGGAGGTCATACTGGGACATCAACAGCTGTGGTCTCACTTTTATCATTCAAAAGAATAAACATCTTGTTCAAATGCCACATTTGGGAAATATCTTCAGCTGAATTAAACATCAAGACTTGAAAGGGTCAACTATAAAAGCTAGATGGGATATTAAATTTGTACTTCTTAAAGGGCATGTTGAATATTTATATTAAGTTGGATATGTGTCCCCGGATATGAAGGACATGTTCAAATCAAAGGATTGTTTTTACTGATAACAACTGTGATTGTTATATTCACCAGAAACTTTCACTGCAGACTATTATCAAACAAGAAAGCAGAATGAGCTAACACATAAATCTGGTCTAAACATTAAAGTTCCCAGAAGAAAAAAAAAAGTTTATCTATGTGCATGAGGCAATGACACTTTTATTTGTCATTAGACCATTTCTTAAAATAGCAATAGCATCTTATAGTGATTTTTTATGGCTAAATTGCACTGGGCACATTATAGCCTAACTTTGTGCTCCCCAAGTATGGGTACAAAGACCTCCTCAGGTGCAGTATTTGAATTCAGATGGCCTTTGAAGAAAATGTTCCATCTTAGAAAAGGATATGAAGCATATCCTTAGATGGATTAACAGACAACAAAGATGGCGCCTCGTACGGTCGACACGGCTCTCTGCTGCTCTCTTTTTCTTTTGTTTTTACTTTTTAACTGTGCATCTGGCTGTTCCTACACCCATGAGGAACTTATGAACATCCGACCCACCGTCCCCATGGACCTATTGCCCGTTTTCTTGGCATCTGCGGCTGATTTAGTTCATGTTCTAGCCAAAAAAGTGTGG